TTAAGGTTCAATGAGCTATTTTTCAAGAGCTTACAGGGAGTATGCAAACTGAAATGGAATATCAGAAAGGAAAACAGAAGTGGTATACAATGAACATCCTTCGTACCTTCTTTTGCAGACTTTCAAGGATGTAGTCCAAATACAAATATGTTAGAACAACACCAGCACAGATTTTAAATACAGCCTTCCCGATTACTTTGCTCCCAGTAACTGAATATTGACTTTAAATTTAACCTTGCGCTATTATGGAAGGACTAATTTATTTCATTATTGTTTGCAATGACTCATTAGAGGACTCAATACAAACTAGGGCCAGGACTCACTAGATGTACTATCTAGCTGAGTAATAAAATATTAACAAAAAACCTCTAATTGGAATCTTGTCATTAATGGTAATGGCTATCACTCTATCAGTGGTCCTTCTGAAGAGGTAATGATAAGCTTGAGATTGCAGTGCCTAATTGAGACGTTCAGTTGTTAACTTCCTTCCAGCTGTTGCTCCACCATCATTAGGGGGAATAAAATGAGCTATGTTTTTAACCATCTCAGTGCCAAGATATTTTCTAGACAGGAGTAAAATATGAGAATATATACCACCCAAAGCAACAGCTGCAGAACAAGTACAATTGTCAGTGTGGTCAAGGAATGCTGTCATGGAAGCACATGCTCTCTGTGAGCACAGAGAAAGGCATTCTTAATTGAAGTATAATATCAGGATAAAACAGTAATATAGGAACTACAGTATGCCTGGGACTTAATACAAAGAGGACATTAGAGGGAAGGTTACAAACTCTGACCTACTCAAATAATAATTTAACTTTAAAAACACAATTTCAAAAACATTTTTGGTGAAGGAATGAAATGGTACCTTTCTTCTCCTGGAATTCTCTACCAGTGCAAAGCCCATTTCCCTTATTAAAAACCGACTCCAGCCACAGCTCACCAGGCATGGATACACTGTCCATTCACATTACGGAGGCAATCATAAAAACAGAGCTTTCATTAATCTCGATGACTTGAACGAAACCCTAGCTGAATGAGGTTTGCAGGGGCAGCCCATGCTGCATTTCAGATAAAAAATGGGATCCCCAGATATTTTTATTTTCAGGTTCCCCTTCTCCCTCACTCCCCTGTTTTAATAATCACCTATTCTACGGTTAACTATCCTCATGGCTACCATCCATGTGCTATGCCAACACAAGCAAAGAGGAGGTCATTTTCTTCCAAAGTGCAGATCCTCAAGCCACCTTCAATTTTTTCACGCTGAAAGTCCTGCGGAAGAAGTAGCATCATTGTAACAAAATTACTTTGCCCTTGATGACTGAGGCTCCAACAGCTGATGTCTGCATTATAGGCCTCAATCTAAGGTCCATACAAGTGACCTTACTAGTTGCACTACACTACAGGGTTCCTCAAAGAGCACATTCTAAATGAAGCACAACTTGAAGTTAATTTAATATATACAGTATATAGATTCAAAGCCCCCATCCATACTTATCAAATGCAAACAGCAATAATCAAAAACACAAATCTGTCGCATTGGTTCAATTGAAAAAATATTGGGGGTATTTCATTGTCAAATCAAATTGTCAAATATTAGTGTTAGCATACTTATATTACTTATTCACTAGAATACCCCCAAGTACAATATACAGTATATGAACAGTTTACAGTAAAACATCCTGAGATCTACTGGTCTTGCTTAAGCCAACGTTTTAAAAATTATGGATTATGAAGACTGCTGACTTTTCTTTTAAAAATTAGGAACATAAGATGCACTTTGGACCAGCTATTTCTGACTGTGTGGTAGTTTAGAATTCACTACCCCACATTCTTCCAAATTATCCGTGTATGTACTAAACAGAAACACTGATATAATCCAGCAGGATGAATACTGAGTAAAGACCCCCAAGTTATATTTTATTATTAATCATGCTTAACAGTTAATCATTATTTATTTGAGCATACTTTAACATGGAACAAGGAACAACATACATTTGCATTGCATTGAAGGCACCAAAAAACAACTCATTTTGAAAACACTGAGAACTATGCCCAACAACCAACACCCAACATCGGGCAGTGCTACTCATTTATACTCTACAGTCTCTAACCTACATCGCCGTTTATACTAGTTTATACTATATATATATCAATAGACAGTATTGTACAGTAGATATCCCCCTCACCTTCACCCAATGGGCTGAGAAACTTTCTTGCTGGGTTGTATAAGGTTCCCTCCATTTTATATCATGTAATGGAAAGTTGTAAACTCATGAACTGACTTAAATGAAAGAAGAACTTGTATTGAAGTACTAAATAAAACAATATTTGTCCTAACACATATGTGTGTATCAATTTGGCAGCCCAGTGGTCTATTAGAAGTGAACTGGTCAGAATGTCTTATGTTTGTACAACATTCCAGAGGTTCTAATTTATTTCTGTCCTCTCTTTTCCGTGAGCTGTGCAATTTGGCAAATAAAATACTGCTTCTGAAAAGTGAATAATCCTGTTACTATTGATTCTGGTGTGGTAGAACTGCTGAACATCACACTTCAGCATCTTGCCGAGCAGATTTGGATTTGTAAGTATAGTGTAACTCAGAAAAACAATAAGTCATTGTTGAAAACTGTTTACCTGGTATATTTGTACTTTCCTCCAAATGTGTCACATCCATCACGATTAAGGCCTTGTGAACTTCATAGCTAAAACTGAAAGGCTAACTGTATGAGGTCAATAAAAACAAAAATACACATAGTACTGTATATACAGTATACAGTATATCCCAAAATGTTATTCATTCTGTAGTTAATGTAATATTAAATGGGGGGTAACATAGGGAGGAAAATGTATGGAAAAAATACCAGGATATGTTTAAACAATTAAGAAAATGTGCATTCAAAACCACCAAGAGGAGTCACTTTTTTATTCAAAGGGTTATAGATGTTTGAAACAGGGTACCTAGCCATGTTGTTGAAGTTGATATACTGTCAATGGCTTCTTCCAAGAAGCAGCTGGTTGAATTCCTTGAATCAATTAGCTTCTAAATCCAAATGGATCAGATTGACTGATAAGCCTCCTCTCATTTCATGTTCATATGTAGTTTATGTACCATATATGCATAAGGCTTACAACAATAGTCTTCAGTGTTTACTGTATGTTTTAACCTTATTTAATAAAACTTACATCTGTCCATTCATAAGGCATCAGCCTGCAAGAGATGCATGGATCTGAAACTGCTGCAATTTTACAGTTCCCTAAATGTCTTATGATTATTATATAACAAATCTTGATTTTAACAAAACTGTGATTTTTACAAAGCTTAATCTACAATATATTGCATTTGAGAACAATTAATGTAGCCTTGGCTTCATCTGTGGTCAAATTAAAACAGTTTTGCAGCTCCAAGTATCAAGTATTCAAGTATCTTCTCCAACCTTCATAAATTAACTTACATTTGTATCAATGTATGGCATTTGATGTATAGATTGAACCACCAATTGCTAGTGTTATTGAATTTGAGTTCAAATACATTCACTGTAGAATGTCCTTCAGGAGGAGATAGTGGAAGCGTTGATTACTTACTCTTCAGATCAATTTTTCAGGAGCAGGCTGTTTGACATCTTGTGGTGCAAGCAGAAAATAGTTCCATTCTTACTGAAAAAAATACAATTGATCATAAAAGGTGGGTAGACTATCAGTTCTCTAAACTTCAAAGACAAGCATCCAATATTTTTTAAAGACTGAGCCAGTGTACCCATAGAGCAGTTAGTTCCAAGTTCAGCTCAAGCTCAAATAGGAGTTTATTGAACTATTTAAGAAGTGTTGTGGTCCCTGTACTCCCTTGTTCACACTACCAAAGGATATAAAATCAATACCCCTTCACTTTCTAAACATAAGTCCTCCCTTTCATGCTCCTTTGCATCCCTTAGGTCACCTTTGCTTACATTGCTTTTGAAATACAAAGTTGTGGCACCTGTTAGTACCCCTTTCCTCCACAGGTACACACAAGAAGACCACCAGCATAGTGCATCAGTCTGCTTAGGGATGTTGTTTTCACAGCTCTACAATGCAAAGCAAAGAATACTTAAAAGAAACAAGTATATTTCATACTGTTTTCAAGTATTACCAGTTGATTTATTATCCCACACACCCTCCCAGCTGCACGGTTTTCCATGTAATTGGAATGCTATTACATTCAGACAACTACCTTATCAATGTCTAAAATATGTATTAAAGAGTAAAACATTATCCGTCTGGGATAAAAAATGTAAGAGAATAATTAACAATACTGTCTGTTCTATTCCCTCTGCATAGAGTTTCCAAGCTTTTATAATGAATTTTGTAATTTTGCCATTTGTTCTGTCACAGAAAATAACTACTCTACGCAAAAGGCCTTTAAGATTTTTAGTGAAAATACAGCAATGCTATGAATAGGAGGTCCATTCATTTAAACTCATTTCTGACATATCTTTGGCGCATGCTCTCAACAGTCAACGCTTTAGCCTAAAACTTTTTTCACTCACCCAGCAGAGCCTTGCTCAGTACCTTTTTCAGATGGATTGGATCTCTCAATTAGCTTTTCTTCCAACATGGGGCTAGGCAGAAATTCTAGGGTTTTCAGTCTAAACATGCACTAAAATAAGAAAGAAATGGTCATGAAACTAGCTGCTTGTGGCTTTATATGGCCTCTTATTGGCTGCAGAATAGCTGGTGCATTTAACTACAGTTCATGCACTTTGACCGTTTGTTCACTTTTCAAAGCATGAAAGGCTTCTGTTATCTTCAAAGCTCCAAAGAGCATAACTGCAAAAACATAACCGAGTAAAGGGGACGCCAGAAAGCTGTGAACCTTGACTGACTGCACATTCAATCTTGGGAAATGTGACTTTTTTTTTCCCCAAGATATGCAGTCTAATAAAACAGTTCATGCAGAAATATAAAACATGACTGGAACTGAATGATGATATCTCTAGTGGGGGAAAAAAGGAAGCACAGAGTTGTTTGGACAGATTTTTTTTATTATTATTGATTTAGTCCTTGTGTCTCATGTTTGTCAATAACCATATAAATCAACATAGAAAATAAGCTCAACACTGCCAACAAAAAAAGTTTTGAAGGTAGTGGGATGGGTGCCTGGTTAAAGGCAAGAACTTACTGGCAATATAGAAAGAGAATGCTAACCGGATACTCACAGCATCTCTAGGCACACATCACAGAGCATCGAGCACGAAAATTACATTTTGATTACTTTCAACAATATCCTGTTTGCACTGCTTGAAACTGGATTTTGTACAACTATACTGATCCTCGTAATGAAATGCTGGTGTGTAGGAAATAACTTTTGTTCCTATTAGACTTAAATATCCATATTGAACACTCAAATCCCCCGTTTTGCACCAACTGAGGTGGTTTTAGGAATCCTCCTTGGGTTTTAAAGAGTTTGCATTACAGAAAAATAAATCTGTCCAATACAGCATGGGGGTCTGGAAGGCCACACTTCTTTACCACTGAATTGCTTCATCGGACTTTCTGCTAATATAATTTTACTTTTTGAATATAAGGTGAATATACAGGACATAACCATTAATATACAGTATGGTTTTATCTTGTGAATTTAGGAGGTCCACGTATTAAACAATATAGTCTATTGGAATTGTAGAAATACAGGATAAAATGGATGTCAGTAAAAGAAAACGTTTAAAAAATCCAGAAATAAACATTAGAAGAATATTACTCAGAAAGCTAGCATAAAGAACATTGTCGTTAGAAGTACAGGAAACCACTTGGTCCATCTTGCTGCCTGGGTGCTATTAAAACAATCAAAATATACTACCTGTACAGTTGCTAAAAAAGTAAGCTATGTTAAAATTCACTAATAACAATTACTATTAAACAAAATTCAAGGTTGAATCAGGAGGATACAACACTAAACTACTACAGATGGTCGTGAAGTTGAATGTTCACAATGCCATAAGCATTATGATCCCGTAGGTTTCTCATGTAAATGTCATCTTACAATTGGTTGCCTGGCAGTGCAGTCTGAAGATCTTTCTTAAGACTGCTTGCAAAAATGTTCTACTCTTCCAGACGCTGCTATGTGTAGCCAGTCACTGCGGAATCACCCTGCAAAAGCTGTATACAATCATATTGGTTTTATTAATTTACACCATGTTTACAAACAGCTTTAAAATGAACAGAAAAAAACATCATTTACTGTAGTACCTTTTCACTACAAATGCACTGACAATGGCCACACCACCTTTGTTCAAAATGTAAACCAGAGGTCCATTTTGTAAAGATCACAATATTTAAAACCTATTCACATTCGGCAAGTACTTTAAGATGTGTTTTAAGTTTACCCTGCTAAGAACCCCCCCCCCCCAAGCCCTTAAGCCTAAAGCTGACAGCACAAAACGAAATGCTCTATTTTCGTTGTGGCAGCTAACTGCATAGTTTGGCCAACTCGTAATCCACGGCATGGGGGAGTTTTGCTGCAAAAGACTGCAGGGAATCGCGGATTCTCACCACCTCGCTGGCCGACAGCTTCAGTCGATGGCGCAACAGGCAGGAGAAGAGGTCCAGTCTTTGCTTGCCTTGGCGGGACAGCATGTTCACGCGGTCCCGAATCTCAAGCAGCTGCAGCAAAGCAGAGTGCTGGGAGCCCTGTGTGTAGGGATAGTCCAGCTGCAAGATGAGGTCTCGGATGGCCTCGGGGTCAAAGGGCATGCTGAACCCGTAGGAACGGACACTGTTGACCTTCAGGTATCCCAGGTTCCGAGAGGGATCAGTTAATTCCAAGGGTTCGTAGTACGTAGTTTCGTTGCCATTGGAGTTGGTAGTCTTGATCCGGCTCCTCAGATAGATATGGACAGTTTCGAAGAAGGTCTTCCACTTGTTGCCGAGCGTCAAGGTCCAGTTGGTGCATTGTGGGAAGCCGTCCAGTGTAGTCCTTTCCCAGTCTGGGAAATGGTTCTCACTAATGGGCAAGAACCAGCTCTCAGAATGGCTGCCTCCGAAAGGGTTGATATAGACAGAGAGAACGGGCTCTAGTGTGCTGTTCCGGGTCAGGCAGATCTGGACGGTCAGTCCCAAGAGCATGTGGACCAGATTGGACCTGTACTTGTTGCTCTTCAAAGTGAGCAGCATGCGCTTCCTCCAGGAGGGGTCAAACCAGCTGTTGAGCTTCATGTCGTTGCTGATGAATATAGCGTGCACCTCAATGCGGCTGTCGTGCTTCTGCAGGAGATACTTCATCTCCAGGTCCTGGAAGTCTGTCTCCAGGCCAAGGTAGTGTTCTGGGGAATCTGACACTTCAGGCCGGCAGGAACCCAGAATCAGCACGTAGCCAGGATTGCAACTGCCACAGAGCGCTGGGTTCTCTTGGGCACAGGACGAGCAGCTAGCGCCGTCCCCCACTACACAAGGGAGTATCCCCTGACAGGAGTCCTGCTCCATGGGACAGGCACAGCTCTGCAGCTCCTCGTTGAAGGTGCCTGAAAGGTTGTTCTCACTGCAGTACAGAAGGGACTGCACCTTCTTCAGCCAGTAGGTTAACGGTCTGCATGAGAAACAGAACAGGGAAAATAATACGCATACTATGAATACACTCCAGTTATTTTTATAATACATTGCTTTCTGAATCCTGCAGCTGTCATCTCTTAATCAAGTCTCACGGTGCTTCTGTTAGGAAAAACAGGTTGACCCTACATACTGTAGATACATACACATGACACCCAGATGCAACTGGGACTGCCTGAATTAAACATGGTTTCTGAGCCTACACTGCATATATTACACCACTACTGGATAACATGAATTCCTTGAAAAAACAGTTCCATTTACTCAATGTATGCACATTGAGGTGTTAATCTGAGTGGCTCATTCTCATTTTCATCTGAGCACAAATATTATTGTCTAGTCACAGACCACAGACGCAACACAGTTAAGAGGTGCCCGAAGGCCTTCCAGTGGGGAGGCATTAGACAAGTATGAGCTGGCAAACTTGAAATCAAAACTCCCCTTGAGCTGGAAAGCATCCATTTAGCTTTGCGAGTGTAAACAGGGGAGAAGTACAATTCTTGTTTTATAGTTTTGCTTTCTGCAAGTGTAACCTAAAGAGGGAAAAAATGAAAGCCCTCATAAGGTACTGACACATTTATTCATTTAATTTCCTTAACTGCAGCACCATGCAAGTGGTGACTCAGAATGATGACTAATCTTGCTATACAAGTCAGTCTCTTCCCCCACCCCCAATCTCAGCATCTCAGGATGCCACAGGGTGTCTGGAAAATCTGTTTCTAAACCACTGGGGCCTTTATTTTCCTATTCACAGTGTAATTCACAGTTCTCACATGCTCTGAAATGCGTACATCCAAAATTAAACTTTGAATAGCGAGAAGTTCTTGAAGTCTTCTCAGATACTTTTGAAAAAAAATGTATTTGTAAAAACGTAACAAATGTCACTGGTTTCAATACTGATTTTATTAGTTTTAGTGCCTATGAGTAACTACAGTATATTTACATTCACGTTCAATTAAATGAAATAAAATGGGTATATACTGTAACTGAAAACTGTCCAGAATAGAGACTGTTGTTCAAATGCATTTCATGTTCCTTCACATCTGGGTTTTGGCTGGTTCATTGGGTTCTTCTAATTTTTTTCTCCAAAGTCATCACTATTGAGAATCACCTGGAACGAAAGTCAGGGGCACAACTCACCTCTCTCTGGGCAGCCTATACTGAGGCTGTTTATCACATCGTTTACTGAGGTTGAAGAGTTTCTGAATCATCTTCTGGGCTTTGCTGTAGATGTGTTTCATGCTGCCCTCTAGCTTCTCATAGAGGCGCTGCAGGCTCATGTCTTTGCTCCACAGCTGAAAGATTGTGGACATATTCAGCAGATGATCTAGTGGAAGCCTCTTGACGAAGGACTTAAACTCATCTGAAAGAACAAAATGTCACATAGCGATAAAGAAAATATGTATGCATAACTATATGAGTTATATGCAGAACACACCAGGGTGATATCCACTATGCCAGTTTGAACACTATCTTTTGTTATCTTTGACATTGAGATGAAAACAGGGCTAGCGATGGGCTGTGACACAAGACAAACACTGCTCCAACTTCAGTTTTACACGATGGAAAAAGGATAAAAATGTAAAAATGGGAACACAACCCTTGTCATAACTGTTAGTGTAGTAGGAGCAGTGTGTGACCATTTTAACTTTTTTAAGCATTTGCAACTATTACAGGACATTACAGTGTTAAAGCAACTGAGTAAAGTAGGGGTTGTTGTTTCACATGATATTCAGGGCAATAACACTGGCTACCCTGTAGGGTCTGAGCAACCCTACAGCTGGAATCAACAATTAGCAATCGACTATTAGTATACACCACACTTCACACAACAAAAGCAACTGTAAAAAGAATCCAGTATAAATAAATAAGTAAATATTAGTAATAAAGTAAAACATAAGGGAAGTAAATAAATATAGGGTAGGAATTACAAAATCTTGTGTAAATGAAGTAAATGCTTCATGATTAGAATGTAATCTGTAATTTTCTGTGGGTTTGTGTTCAGCTCAGTCCAATAGAGAGAAGCTTCAGAAGAGGACCCAAAGGGACCGAAAAAAAGTTTTTCTAGTGGTTTTCTAGTGATGAAGCACCTAGTTAAAAGCAGGTTGCATTTTTAAGGATACCTTTTATTAAAAACTTCAGTGAAGAACCATAAGAGACCAGAGCATCCTGAAGACTTATATTTAAAGAAGAAAAATCTTAAAGGTCAGATTTCATTAAGACAAGCTATTTTAAGTTTCCAAACTGAAAGAGTCTGCACACGTTTCACAAGGTGACCTACTTGTTAATTTGCACATTTTGTTAAGTAGACACTGTCATTTCAAGTCTACTTACTCATTATATCCATGGAATGACAACACAGAGGTGAAATGAGGAGGCCAGAAGCCTTTTACTCATTAATATCTTCGATGTGTTTTTAAAACATTTGTTAAAATAGAGGAAATGAATGACTATCAATATCCGCTGAGTACAATACAAAAGCGTTCAGTTGCTCTAAATGTAGGCAGGACCTAACCTGAGTTCTCAAACTCTTTGTTGTAATTTGTCAACACTTCCTTCAGTTGAACCAACTTCTCTTCCATAGCCTGGATATCAGCAGTGGGGCAGTTGCACTCTGGGAAGTCAGAAGAACAGTGGCACCAGCAGTCATTGTCCTTGCAGACAAAGTCCCCTTCAGAATTGCAGGTAATGTAGCCAAGAGCTGCTCTGATGAAGCTCTCACGCAGGTAATGAGGAAGTATGACCTGAAGACCTGGAAAAAAAGATTTGAAGCTTGAATTGTTCTTCAGATACAGCATCTCTCTTTTACTTCATGAGTAATTCATTGTCTTTACCAAGGAGCATAAGCATGAAGTGTAAGCATAATAATTACATGCACTGTACAAGCGCATTAAGAATGTTTTATACCACTAAGTTTCTCTCAGCACTGAACAGTAAAAACTTTCAAAAGTGTAGAGTCAGACAGCCTGCGTGGCACTAGATTACAGCTGAAGTATGGAAACATCAATATATTGAACAGGGCATTAATATACACCAGAGATCCAACTTACAAGTCACATTTAAGATCCATCAATAGGAAAATGTAATGTAATCAATCATCTGTAGAAGAGCAGGCTAATTTAAATGAGCAAATCTCCATAACAGGCTTAAACTTAAAGTTAAATATTTATAGGGAGAGAATTTGGTCTTAAATCTACAAAATCTATTAAAACCATGAGTAACAGTAAAGCACAAATGTTCTTGTAGACAGTGGTTTATTCTTCAGTATAGGTTTTTTCTTAGTTTTAACTTACCCAAATTGAATGTGCCTTTTCAAAATGTTTATTTAGATTCCACTTTGCATTGTTTTAAAGTTAACCTATCCATGCCTTCTTAAAAATTGCAGATTAATACTGTCAATTAAGACTTTATTGAACCTTTTGGCACCTTTACAACATTATACACAAAGCGGCTTCTACACAGAGCTTTCATAATATGCTATACATTATGTCAATGATTCTTTTACAAGGGTTGCATGGGAGTCTACAGTATGTATTAGATCAGGTTGAAGTCCATGTAGGAGTAAAAGCCATCCGGTCTTTATCTCACCCAAAGCTAAGCATTTTTCTTTAGGTGATAATTATACTGAACGATTCAACAGAACATACAGTATGACCATGGATGAGGTTGGATTCCCTGACAGCAAGATCACTCCCTTAGAGAAGTATCCCAGCAGAGTACTGCTAGGTATTTTAATTAAAACTGAAGATTTCCAACTAAGAACTCTTGTGGTGTAGTTGGTCAAATGAGACGTTATTAAATAAAGCCTAGTGCTAAAATGCCTGTATTTCAATATCTTTGCTTTATTTTCCCAAATTATAGTGCAGTTGTTCTTGCATCTCACAGCAGTACTTCCTTTGGAACCTGCTGCGAGAGTAATCTGAGACAGTTTTCTATCTTGTGTTTGAATAGAACAATTTTTTAAAAGCTTTTCTCTTCTACAGCTATTAATTCTTTGAGATACTAAAATCAGTCTGATTCACGGTTAATGTGGCACTTTTCTTTTCCCTCCAAGATTTACCCTCAATTGTACATCACATTTTTGGCTTTTAGAAATAAAAAAAAGTTGAAAAAATTCTACTTCAACAACACTCTTTAGAACAGTGGTGGGTGCCTGCTGTGATCTTGCTGTTATACTGCATAGACTCTGTAGTAACTACCTCAAAAGTACTCAATGAGGTTCAACAAGAAAAAGCTTGTAAAACTACAAACACAGATCTGAAAGAATACATTCTATGCATTTTCACTCTCATTCATGAATGTGTAAGCAGCTTCTCCACTATCATTGCTTTCCCCAGACAACTACATATTTCAATATTTCAGCAACTCCTTAACTATTGCAGACATTACCCTGTTTTTCTAACTCAAGCACAGTGGCAGAGAAAGATCACACAGACTGCAATGCAAAACCATATAGTGATCAGCTGACGGATATATCAGTCATACTCCAATTCCAATCCAACACAGAAAAAAATAAAGTTGCTGATTTTGATCAGGATTTTGCAGGAGATGGAAAAAAAGTATACTGGCATGATGTACTGAGAATAAGAATCATGAGATTAGAATACTGATGAGCTGCTGACTAACTTGTGGAGGTCTGAAAGGGCCAGCTAGGACAACACTCCAATTGCCTGCTCGTGAGGAGACTGGAAGCTGGTATAACAGACTCAGTTACACAGTGTTAGTATGATTAAATGAGAGCCTAAGGACTTACAAAAATCACATTAAGAATTTAGGCTACTACAGACAGCAGACCAATTCGTGCTCCAGGCGAACAGCTGAGACTTTTCTGTAGGATTCGTAATGAACATATCATCGAGAAATAGAAAGCAATAAAACAGAGCAAAAGGCTTGTAATGGGACTGTCCGCTAAAATCTTTCTGTTCATGCACAGCATGGTTTGACCTAAAGAGCAAGAATCGAGAAAACCAAAAAGTTCTGGCTGGGTGCAATCTTATATTGTGCAATCAGTAGGTTTGTTCTGTTTGTACCATATTGACTTGTCAAGAGGCTTGGGTAACATAAAGGGCTATGAGTAGGTCTTCTTCTGGTTGACATCATGGGAGGGGGAACATTCTAAAGGTCATGACATGGTGATAATTAATTCTGATGAAAGGGAATCTGTGCAAACTCAAAACCATTAAGGGCTTTAATAAATCCTTGTAAAAAGACCTCAACCCTCGGATTTTATAATGCCACTGGACATTATCTGAAGCCAAAGGAAACGATAAAGCAAGAAGTCATTAGTAATAATTTTAGAGCAGTGACAACTCTATGGTAAACCTGCTTTTTAAATCTGAATATTGAATTATCTAATTATGATGTATATGTAGGAAACTGATGTACGGTGGAAGGCAACAAAATCGTGCGCGATGCAGTCCTGCAAAATGTTAACTGTTGAAACGGTAAAACACAGGCGCCAACCCAATTCAAATCAATTTTGTCCCTCGCTGACTGATGAGGATTCTAACTCAAGCAGTTAAAGGTCAGAAATTACAGTTGCTGATTTGTACCTCTAATAAAAATGCCAACTAAACTACAATATCCACTCGTCTCTGTCAGGCCAATATGGTCACATTTTGGGATCACGAGAATGGCTAGCCTCCCTTGATGTGCCAACCTTGCTATCTCACTCCTGGATCAATTAGTGCGAAGGGCTGCAAGCTTATAGTGGCAGCAGATCAACTTGAGTAAAGGTGATAGGTAGGGAATCTTCTCTGGCAGCTGCAAGCAGACTTTGCCAATTTCCATTAGATATTCCAGGGGCTGCTAAGCAAGTGTGATGGGAGCAGCCATAGGAACTCCTTCTCTGCATCCTAATTATGCGAAGTGAAGATCTGAGGCGTGTCAACTGGGCCTGATGAGCAGCCAAGCAGTAAGAGAGGAGGGGGGAAAAAAGCGAATCTTGATTAAAACCGCAGATTTCATTTTCATTTCAAATCTGCTATCACTTTCTCCAAGCATCACGCTGGAGAACTGAGAGGATACCTCAGGGAAGACTGGTACAACACAGTCGATGATAAAGAACATTTTTCTTGTATTCCCTGATGACATTTTAAGATTGTGAACTGTATTCTAGATTATAAAACAAAATGGCAGGACCAACTTCTCCCAGGGTTTGGCAGTTGGGATTTATTCTCAGATCTATTCACACTAAATGGGAGGTGGCAACATCCTACGAGATATTTTATTTCCATTTATCTGAACAGATTGCTGGTTGCACTGCGTCCAGAGATCAGACTAAGCCAATATGTTATAAACTAGAGGCAGACTTATTCACTGCTGCCAAAAATGTAAAACCACATTTACTGAAATAAAGAGACAGTTTGTAAACCTTTATCCAAGTTTTTATTATTCGTGTTCAAATATTTGTTTTCTTATTGCTTTTATCTCAGACATTGCTTATGACCTTTACCAGTTACTCTGCGTTAGAGATTTTAACCCAAAGGTTTCCATTTCAGACTGTACAGAAAAAGATGAAAGTGTAAGCATTTTATGTCCTTAACATGGCAAAGCACCATGCTTTATGGTCGAGTAGGCAGATTAATAGGAAATGTTGAGATCAGATAATGAAATATCAACTTAAAAATTATAACAGTGATTTGCATTTGTATTCATGATATGGTTTTACCATTTTTTATCTTCATTTTCTTTAAGAGGCAGAGAAGGTACTCCTGTATTACCCAAAAATGTGCTGAAGGAAGCTAAAAAAAACAAAAACAATCGAATAACACTTTAATTGACCTGACTAGAAAGCTTTAGACCTGCAGACCTGTATGTAAGGTTAAACACTAAAGTCCCTTTAAAGATAACTGACATGCTTTGTCAGACTGTTACAGGTCTACTGCTATGACTGTACTTTCACGTCTTTATTATGTACAGTGTGTGCTCACCTCAGTGCTGGGTGAGACTGATGAACAGCAGGGGTGATTCTTAATAAAACGGGCAGATGCATTTTTTCTGTTAAAAAAAGCCCTCGACCGTGTGCTGCTCATTAAGGAGAGTGGAGCCCAAGTGTGAGATGCTCCCAGGATAGCTGGTTTAAGCAAACTATGGTGCAAGGTGACCTCTTTCCCACATTTTATCTTACTACACAGTACCTGAATACAGAGCACAACAGAATGCCAGACCAATTCGGCTTTACTGCAGATAAAATGCTGATATGAGACAGAAGAGTTGGCTTAGTTGCACCCTGGTGTGGTAGCTGCAAACCTTCAAAAGATAATTTCACATACCTTGAGCTGCACTGTTCCCTCTTCAGTAATTGCAGAAGATGTACAGTACACTGCTTGTCAATGATTTAGTAAGAGATTAAAGGTACTCTTTTTCTTTTCAAACTGTCATAGGGTATAGAGTAATATTAAAAGGAAATCTTGTGAATAACTGATTTGACAGATAGTGAGTGACCTTCTGTTTTTCAGAATGCCTCTGTCTTTATGAAAGGAAGCCTGAACGGTATGATCTTGGTATCAAAACCTTTTTTATGTTTTGCCAGAGGCACACTGTTTCCCGAAAAGTAGTAATAAGAGGCTCTTAAACTGCAGCAAAAAATTGCCTTTTTTTGAAATTCTGAGGAGACTTTTAAAAAAATAATTCATAGAGGGAAACCTTTTAACCCCTTTTTCTTGTATCAGATGCTATGCGCCGCACTTTGCTTTAACAATGTATCTGATAACTGTGCAGATGGTTAACAAAATGAGTCACCAAAAGCTTAAATTAGCTAAACGCGTATGGTAAGAAAAAACATCCACAGGAACTTACAATTACAAAATTACAGAATTACAAAAATATCATAATATTACAATTACAATAACGTCCCCCCATCAGACTAGATGGATAGCATGTGGAACTGTATTAGTTTCAAACTGATCTCTGTAGGAAATGTATAGAGTCTAAGCCAGTATGTTGGTCTGTTTAGCCTAAGTGAATCACATTTCAGAGGAAATATCCTAGCAACTAAATAAGAAATAAAAACAAAATAGTTTGTCTTTTACATGCCACATTTAATTTGCTGTTTTAACTTCAAGGATATTATGATTGTGACAACCATGCATGAGCTAAATAAAACACAGATACACACACATATAGAACTTTCTGTCCAGAACTGTCCAGAAACAGCTAGAAGAAATCCTTGGATACATTAGCTACTAACTACCAAACATCATCAACTGGGCTTGATGGGCCAAATGTAATCTAATTTAAAGTCTTTACGTTGTTCTTAAATAGATGTGTACCATTTGTGTACAGTGTACCATTGTACAAGTTTTTTTTAGTATTTGCTAATCGCCCACATCTCTTTGCCGTAGTAAAAAAATTAACGTCAAAAACATACAATTTTCCTATAGAGTTACTCCATTTATTAACATGCAATCATGTCTCCCAATATGCTGTCAAAGTGCTGGTTTGTATTCACTGTTTAGGAATGGAATGGAATTTTGGATGGAATTTTGGGATGAGGGTTGCGCTACAATTTTAAAATTGAACTAGTTTTTTAACAGCAGCCTTTTCTAAAATGCAGATTTTGTTGATATTTTTTGCTGCTGAAAGGCTAGTTCTTTTTTATCCCAACCAATTATGCTGGCCTAATTTCATGGCTTGTTGGGAGGCATCCTTTACATCTCAGTAGTTTTGTTACTGACACATTTTTAATGAAAGGCGTGTGCGGTACAGTGACATTACTTCCATTGCAGTTTACAGCCTTGTACTCTTCTGTTGCCTTCATCAAAAGCCATGTTTCCCTCTCATGTTTTAATCAGAGGGCTGGATTTCCTCTCTTCCCATGTTTTTTTTATCTTTGTGAAACCAAGGACATCTTGAGTTTCCCGTAAGTAAATTAAATGGCTTCTTTTTGAAACATCTGTTTCGTCTCTCAATAGGGAGCTGTGGTGGGTGGTGTGGAGCTGGAATACAAGATTACCTTTTTGATCACAGTGGGACAGCAAGGGATGCTTCTTAATTCGAGAACAGCTTTGCTGCATTCAGTGGAGCTGATGTGGTGAGTCGCGGGCAATGCTCCAAAATGGGCTGGGTTTGAGATGCCACTGTTCTAATCAAGTGAGGTTCTAAAGTGAACTAGAGGATATCCACCCACGCACTTCCTCCTTTTTCATATTTTGGAAAACACTACACGTAAAAGTAAAATGCCAAAAAAAAGGTACAAATCCATTCAACACTGTATTGGGCAAGCTAGCTTTCAACAACTCCCATTGTACCGTAGAATTAAAAAAAAAACATACAAACTGCTTTTAAAAAACTGAATGCATAAAACTTTGATGCTAATTAAGAAGAAATGCTTCTTATCCTGTGATCTGTCATTTATGTATCTCTTTAAACTACCAGTTTAATACTCCCAGGTAATATTGTTTTTTTCACTGTTTATTTCCAATTTTCCACTGATGGAAAGACCTCATTAGCTCACCCGTGTTCACTGGATGGATGGCTATCTTCAATTGCAAGCTCACAGTTTAACACAGCATTTGTGTGATACGAGATTCTTGAAAATGGTATTACCTGAGTGTTTTGATACATCTGGTACGCTGATACTAATGGCCACATTAAGGTCTCGGCTTAATACAGAAATATTGAGCACCTGCTGGTGGCAATATCTTCTATACTTAATCACATTCTGTAAATGACGTGCAATTGTATCATTACTGTGCAGCAATTGATATTGAATTACATAATATGAAACTGTGAACTAGTGTTGGTTTAGTCCTAATTAAGACATCACAGAAATTAAATATATCAACATATTCCTTTAATAATTTACTACCTTCATATGCAAAGACATGATTTGTTTTGATCCATGTGTTAATTAAAAGACAGTTAGGGGTCTAGCTTCAGACTATCAATAATTAAAATTTCCCACTTTATCTTAATTGTGTTATGATAATATCTTAATTTTAATTTGTTCATTTAAGCGGCTCTCTTAAGCCTCTGAATGCAATGCCATTAAGTTAGGAAAGGAGGACACAATTATGGTAGATTCAAAAAGCATCCGTCTTGCCATTTCATGCCAGTAAATAGAAGTCACATCTAAATCATGACCGATTTCAAACAGGGGAAAAAGTGTTCTTCTAAAGATAGACAGTAATCGTGCATCCAGAATTGGATATCACTTGTGGGGGTGACATAGTAGCTTGGCAGTCAGAGCTGCTGATGCACAGCTCTTGGGTCCCGGTTTTGACTTTAGCCTGGGGTGCTCTCTGGTTGGAGTTCTCATGTTCTCCCAGAGATTTCGTGGGTATTATACTTTCCACAGACATGCTGGTTGGGTATAATTGGATATGCTCAATTGTCTTTCTGGCTCCCTGTGATAGACAATGCAGAATGAGAGCAACCAGTATACAACCAGCCCCCTTCTTGTGCCTTAGACTTCTGGAATAGGCACTAGGTTGCTATAATCTGGAGAACTGGCTTTTAGATAATGAATGAATGCATGGAAAATGAATGAATACTTGTAGGATGGGATTAGCCCCTGAGGTCTCAGTTACACTACAGACTTACCTTTATTGACTGAATTTGTGTATGAACTGATAAATAAAAGCTTATTTTGTGCACACAGATAAAAATGCTTTTTAAGCAACAGTCACGTCTTTGGCTCAATATTGTCTATGCCTTAAGGAATGTTTATTTTCTCTGCTCAAGACAAATATGAATTTGGATGAGTTCTTCAAAAATGGCTTGGCAGGATGTTAATGAATTTTAACGTTGTTCAATTTCTAAATGTGGAGCGACGCAACTAGTGGAAAGTAATACAGTCTTATCCAATTCAGTAAACATGGAACATGGAAAATAAACGGCTCTATCACAATTCAGCAATTCAGCTAGCACTAAGTAATACTTCCTCTTCTTTGTGGTAGTGTACGCAAGAACCGATTAGTTTAGGCTACAGATGAGACCGACCTCTCGCTAATGTGTCCCCCCTTGGCCACATTACCTTGTAAATGGATTTTGTTTTCAGGGCTTTGCACTAGAACAGAACTGACAGAGTCAAGGTTGTCGTAGTTACTGCATCCAAGAGGGCCAGTCCTGGTTTCTGTTACCTAGGAAACAAGAACACAAAAAAACGTCAAGGTGCCGTCGACAAATTATTCTTAAAACTGTGATATTTCACTTGCAATCATTAAATCGGACAGATGTGGAATGCTTGACTATCAACTCACAGTACACCCAACAGAAAAAATAACCTTAATAACACTCATGGAACTAATTATTATTTTGAATGTTCTGTTTTAATCTAAAATAAGCTTGAGATATTAATTTCCAGTCAGGTATGAAGAAGTATTTAAGAAACACCTCAGGAGTAACTGAACACTAACTACTTGTTTTACTGGACAATGTTAATCATTTGTGTTAACTGTGGACAGGAGGGTCTCCATTTTCAGGAAAACAGGCAACATGAAATGCAACGACATCCCTAACAACCATTTGATCACATATGGTGGTGTGACAGAAAAAAAACAACATTTTATTGCTTATTCTTCTGTACTGGAACCATGTTGATAAAGACCCAAAACATTGAGATACCTATCAATATAACAAAAGCACTAGAACCCTGTTCACCAAGAAGTTAAGCTTCTAGAAAAAAATTCTAAGCTCTGAGCATAAGTCAAAATATTTTTAAATTAAGAGCAGAAACATTTGAAAAATGTTGACTGTTCACTTTTGGGATTAGTGAGTGGATGGAATCCTGTCGTTAAAGCAGAAAAAACATTGCACTAGAAATCTTTCTGGCTGTCAGTCTTATTCCCTGCATAAAGACAGAGAGATCCTACAGCCTTTCAGCGAATACCATGTTATTTCCACTACTGATATGCTTCGATGGATCGACTTTATTCATGGGTAGGCAAAATAATAGATACCGTCAAAGTGTCCGAGCAACACAAACTACAGCCGTTGAGCTTTTAATAAGGAGGAGAACCCCATAGTGGCTGCTACATTTTAAAGCTTGCAATGTGGTTAAGATTGTGAGGAGGGGATCACAAACACTCAATGCATGATGTAGAAATCTGGTCAATTCATTAATCTTTTGCACATTAAAAGTGTTTTTCTCCACCATTACCTTAAATAGGTGGTACACAGCACTCTTACTTTTAACAGGTTGCAAAACTGTGACAATTGTGTTGTAAAACATGACAGGGGGCTGAATGATTTTTCTTCACGTTAAGCACAAAATTAGGTATAGAACTGTTTTGTACATCACTGATGCATGAAAATTGCAAGGTTTCAAGGCACTTTTCTAAAGGCATTTTCATTTAAGAAAATGAAGCCGCCCACTCATCCCATAAATCAGAACAAGCCTCAGAAAAAGTCTAACAAGTTTAAAGTGATTACACAATATTCACATTATATAAACAAGCCTGTAACCAGTTAATATTTAAGGATACTGACTCCTCCGGTCTCCCACCCTCATCCTGCCCTGTAGAGTCGGCGATTAAATCTTTTTTCCAGTGATCCACCCCTCTTCCTTACTCCTTACTCCTCCATCCAGTCTTTTCCTACACTTGGTTAGAAGAAGCCTCCAGTCACACTCTAGGCCTGAAGCACTGCTTCACATTATCAGATGCACACTCTGACTTGTTATTGTACTGGCCCACAACTAACAATACATTTGATGTCAGTCCCTCCTACTATGTAGATATGCTAAGTTATATCCCTGGACTTGATTTATGGAACTTCTTCTTGCATAATTTCTCACATTTCTCTGACTTTATAATGTGTCTATATATATGGAATATGTTTGCCATGTTCGTAGTTTAAAACCCTTGCACATTGCCTTGGATAAAAGCATTAACCACTTTGCAATACGTGAATCAGAGTTATGTTCTATTATCTTCATTGATTTTTCCTCATTGTGTCTTTAATGTTACGCAAAGGCACATGTCTCTTCAATACCAAGAGAGAGTAACTGCTTAATATTAGAAACTGATAAAAAAACAGCCATAGAATAATGCCAAACACAGCTTCTATAATTCAATGTTAGATCACAAAACCCCCACAATGTTAAAACTACTAGAACTACGAGAAGTGAAGCACTGAAATTTCTTTAAACACTTAAATACAATTTACACATTCCAAGAATGGAAAGCACCAGAGTTGATTTAATCAAGCAGCAAAAAAAAAAAAGAATGCCTCAATGTGGCACTAGCTTTATTAAAAAGGATAGAGGAAAATAGTATCTGTATCCCTGCCAAAGTTCACTTTGGAAATGGGTGCTGACTCAAGACTACCATCAATTTTGAATACAGGCGGTATAGCATTCAGAGGAGATAGTGTTTATATGCATATATCCTAAAGACCAGCACTCTTAACAAGTAAAAATTGTGCTCTGTGCTGATCCTCGACCTCCGTTTCCCTTCTCAAAGATAATCACCAGCTTGTTAATTACTTTGAGCAAGCAAGCATTTGCATCTTTATCCCCGTCATCACCTTCTCCTCCAGCTAAGCAGCTTCATTATTTTAATGATTACAATTCTGAAAAGAAATGATGGCTATAGGTGGTACAGTGGCCCGATTCCCCTTCTTATATTATCTTTGGAGCACAGGGTTCAACATTTGGTTGAGCTCCGCAGACGAATGTATGCTGCAGTGATGTTAATGGAAAGCAAGAGGATAATCTTCATATATCCTATTTATCACGATCTCCTATTTTACCATTTTAAAAATAGTCATGCTACCACTGATGACAAAAGTAAGATCGGTTAACATTATCACGGTACAAAACCAAATTAATTTGTGCAGAGCATGCAGCATAATGCACTTCAGATTGTTTCCCACAGTGATGTGCATCGTAGGATGTGACAGCTTTTGCCACAAATGTTAAAAACCACTATCTAGTGCTACTAACCTCCTCTTTTGCAAATACCACCCGAAATTCAATTCAGGCTCACTTACATACTGAGAACTGGCAATTAGTGTAGATCCAAGTGTGATAATGAGTTAATTAATCTACAGGACTAGACTTACTTTGAAGTACTGAATGAGGCATCAGCAGTTTGCAACTCTTGACCAACTTTCCATAAATAACCTGAAGTCTCAGAGCCCCAAGCTAAAATGAAATGCAATTGTTGAGGTGATGGATTAGAATTATGAAGAAATTGCAGTTGGGACTCACTGGGACAAGGATCTCTATTATTAGATGTAATTTTAATCACATTACTGCCCAGAGGTCTTGGGTCTATACAGCCAAAACTGCAGAGATTAATTTAATTTAAGAGCAGGGATTGTTCACATCTAAAGACATTTAACCATGGTAGAGGCTTTGACGTTTAACTTCGGAGGTTCTCAAATTCTAATTTTTGACTGATTCCTCTGTCGATGCATTGCATTGAAGGAAAACAGTTCCTTTTAATATAAATATTAGCAAACAGAAAAAGCCAACAGATAAAAGCCAAGCACACACTGTATAGTATACAGTATTAACAAGGACTCAAAACAGAATTTCTCTGCTTTTATGTTTGGCAATTGCAGATCGGCAAAGTCAATGCAGTCAATTGTTCATCTGGCTGATGAAAATTCATTTCAATTTATTAGAGCATTTACAGACTCAAACATGAGGGAGTTAATAGCTCTAGTGCTGTTCCATGCATTAGACATCAGCAGAGAAAACCCTCGTGAGACCACCATGTAATGTGCTGTTCTTGGTGCCTGAAAAATAAGATAAAATAGTCTACCTTCAATGATAAGTAACAAATTTACAGAGCATTCCCTAAGCAGTAGCTTTACACTGGGGCTTTGTTTCAGCAAATGTGATAGTGCTCATCACAGACCATTTTTCCACAGAGAAGTGCACCACAGAAGACATCAGTCCTTGTTGAAAGTGTTTGACCCCATTCTGTGATATATTCAGTGCAGTAAGAAAAAAAAACATACTACCATGTTCAAACGGTGTCCTTTCCTCATTTCTTTATTTTCATCCACAGCCAGCACTACCACTGACTGCAATGCATCAAGGGTGGTCTTATTCCTATAAACTATAGACAGAACAAGCTAGGCAAAAGGTACCACATACCAGGCCAATACTGGTCGCAATTCAAATAAAACTATAAGCCTTCTTCTGGAAGTCAAAAGAGGCAAAGTATTTTGCAAAGTATTAGACAAAGTTCAGTTTTCTCCAAGTTTTACAGCACACTGAACAGAGAAACAGATGTTCCTAGCTTGAACCAAGACACCCCGTAAAAAAATCAGGTAAGTGTTGCTTTTCTGCCATTAAAACCATTCTCCTGTAACTGCAGCAGCTTGAAACTGAAAGGTATCTGATCAGGCTCTCCCCCAAAGAGGATCATGGCAATATTTAAAAAAAGCAGACAAATCAAACATTTTTGTACTACAGTCAATTGATATAAAATGGCACAAATGTCAAATCACTGTTGTTTCTTCCTTTGGTGTTGCAAGGAAAAAAAGGAATTTCTCATCATAACTACCACCTCACCAGAGAAACATTTGCCTGTACGCTCGTATTCTGCATGCACCTTTTCACTTAAAGTGTTATGAAGGTACTCACAAACCCAAATATAACTGATGATAACGGATGGGGTTTTCATCTGATAATGAGTTAATTAATTTGTCGAACACCAGTCTTGCCAGAGGCTACACAGTAAGGAGAGATGAATAAGGGTCTCATTATTCAACTCCAATTTTCCATAAATAACCCGTTGTAACCAAGTCCCTCTGAAGCCAAAAGGCAATTGCTATCATGATGAATTTTAATTGCAAAGTTATTGCAGGAAGACCTTAGGGACAGGTTACACTTTTATATGCCACAATTGTAATTACACTAATAAGAAGCAAAAGCACAGCATTATGGGGACAAGGTTTAAAATGAAGACAGCAACTGTTTCAGAGGCGGGGATGAAAAACATACAAAGCTGCAACAGAAAACACAAAGACGACCATCTATTTATTTGTGTTAAGATTCTTCGATTTTACTTCTTACCAGAGAGGCAAATTTGTGCTTCTCCTCTACACTGCATGCCATTCTGAAAATCAGACATCGAGGACTAAGCCATTGTCATTTATAGCACGTTACAGAGAGTTTGTTCAATTTAAATATCTTCATGAAGTCTTGCCGTCAACAAACACAACAAAGACAGACACATGAAGTTTCCACCATGAAAATTGGAAAAAACTAAGCTAGTTTAAAAATGGAAAAAAAAACAGATGTGTCTATTGGCCAAAGCTTCAATTTAGCAACTTACGAATCACAATAAAATCTAGCATCTCAATAAAGATCTGAGGAACACTCAGCCATTAACTACTGCGACATGAATATTTTAACATGCTGCCACCAAATTTCAACTTTGCTTTTTTAAAATCTTTAAGCATATCATTGCATGTATATAAGTGCATGCTTCTTCTTTTTAAACACATCTGATACCAGCTGGAGATGATGAAATTTCTCAAGGTGATGTGAGTTCCCTCAGTAGCTGGAGCTATCTCAAGTGAATTATCTATTCTGTATTTGTACAGAAGCAGTTGCTACATCTGCCATCTGTGCTCAGCTGCATAAAAACCCTTCTGTATTGATAGACAGTGTTTGTTTTCAAAGTTTAAGCAGAATTGAGCATACCAATTACTTCTGAAACTGAGAAGAACACTCTTCCCCCTCTTCCTAATATTACTCATAAGAAAAGGTGATCCTTTAAGCTACTGTCCTACCCTGATTACTGTAAAGTAATTTACAAAGCATCAACCAGTCTAAGAAATCAACTTCTTCTGCTTAGTAATGACAAAACAATCTTCATTTGCATTGAAAACGAAGCAAGCAGCACCGACAAACCAAGAGTCTAGAAATGGGGACTGACAGCTCCAGTCCTCCAGGAAATTATGCAAATAATTAATTTAAGTAATTAAAATAACAGGTAGAAAGCATGCCAAAAAGACCTTTAGGCCTTTGTGGATTGAAATCAGCCGTCCCTGTTGCAGAGATGATGAAAAACCTCAAAAGTTAAATGTTATCAAAAAAAAGAAAAGAACACTATGAAAATCAAACTTACTGTACTAAATATGAATATTTGCACAGTAAAACCGTAAATGGGCTGATTATTTTTAAAAGGGATCAAAATCACTCTGAAGGAAAATGAATCGTTCTAAACAATTTCACTTCTCTGATTAAGAAGCATTTCTTATTTAACAAACTCCAACAGCAGTTCCAGGGTAAACCACACTCCCCAGGCCAAACAAGACAAATCAAATTAAAAAAGAAACTGCGGGTTAGAAAAGCTTACAGGAATAAGAGAACAACTTGGCATTTAATCATAGGTGCTACATTATTAGAGACGCAAGGAAAAGGTCTGCAAACTAGACCAATTATTCAAGATTTGTCCTCTCACTATTGTGGCTACACTGAAGAAGGTGCAGTTCACTCTTTGCAGTGGGACAGGAAGTGATCAGAGGGATGCAGGAAGTTTAATGCTTTTAACATTTAGAGAGACTTTAGTTAATGCTGATTTTGTCTCTTCCAAGTCTTTAACTTTGAGTTGTAGAGGGATCCAAAGTATAGTCTTAGGAGTAGAGCAGAGGAGTGCTAATCTCTTATCTAGCAAAGTGACAGTATAGCAACCCGCTTCACCAAGGGTACTTAATAGACTTCCACAACCCAAAGAGTTTTATGACACGGCTGGTTTTTCCAGTGTTCTATGAGATATTAACTGCAAATGGGCAGTGTTGTATATCCCTGCTGTGGATGAACCAGCTTATAGGACACTCAAGCTGTTTGATTCAGTTAACATGCAGGGGGCAGACCATACCAAATGTCCATATAACAGATGCAACCGCAGATTTGCCCAGGGCACAGCATGACTTGGGATCTGAGGCAGAGGCTTAAGTTTTGTGAATTCAATTTTTTTTTTTGCTCCATACCGGATTGCTTCGGAACACATGATTGATTTCTCAATTTTCCCTCTAGGGTTTTTCATTTCAAAGCCACACGGATACGCTGACCTTTACCGTCCAGCGGCAAGCGGAACCCCAAATACCCCGTCCCCAAATGGGGATCTGCAGAGACGGCTCGCACTCAGGTATCCGAATCCCTCACAGCGAATAAGCGTTAGACATATTCAAGTGACGATATCCCCCACTGTGCCAGAGGTGCTGCTTACACGACATCTCCATTTCTGTACTCCCGCTGCACAGATTTTAAGACCGTGTGGGAGTCACCTAGCTGGCTGCAATGCAGTTGCAATGCAACCAAGTGGGGGGATGAAACGTTATGCTTACAGTGGGTATTCAAGTCAGCAGCATATTAGGAAACCATTACCTTGATAGCTGAGGTGGCTATCTGGAGGTGGTGCAGTCTTCGCAGTGTACTCTCCCTGTCTATGAAATAAGAGGCCGCCAGCTGGTGCAAGTTCTCCAGAGTGGCGATGGAACTGTTGTCGCTGCCGTCTTTCCCGTTGCCCTCTTTACTCAGCCTCTTCTTGTTTACAAATATGGTCAGAGATTCTTCCCCTGGGAGGAGCAAGCAAGACAGGGTTATCCCAGGCACTCTGCAGTGCAGTGGAACAGCGGGATTCCCTGCCTCTACAGAAGCTCATGCCACATTTCCATTTCGAGCCACGTCGGCTCACAACCTCGGTTACATCAGGCAGGCCCTGAGGCTGGTTGATGCACACACGCATAAGAACGACCTGCGGTCCAAATTGTTTTGCAAAGTGCTGTTCAATTACAGCTCTGGGTGTTTTTTTTTTGGGGGGGGAATGTTTGAAATACATTGATACCAAAGCTTTGAGCTTGTTTACAGCCAAAAAAAGGACTTGGCTTATCAATGAGCTCCACTAAATTGATATTGTCATGACCGTTGGTAGGACAAGGACTCACACAGAAGAGCAGTGTTCTTCATGCTATTGAGATGCTAAATACTGCTAAACTGAGGTGACAAGTACCACTAAATCACTGAAACAGTACATTCATGAAACCTTGGATTTTGATCTTCACAGATGTCGGAAGGAAAGTGATCTTTACAAATCAGTGTTGGAAAGGGAAACCTTGAACAAAATTGGGTACTAAACTAATTTTGAAAGGCGGCATTCTGATTTTTTTTAGAACACTGCAGTATAAGAGGGCATTGTTCAGGTTGATATCGATTGTCATATCTAATTGGTGAACGTAAAACATCCAAGAAGTGAGATGAAAAAAATGCTTAGACAACAATTCATAATTTTATTACATATTTATTCATTATACTCCTAAAGAAAAAAGAGTCTAGTCTAACCATCAGAAAGTGACCATGACATTTATAGACTGACTCATCTAACAGTAGCAGAAAAAGACAAATGAGAACCACTTCCATGCAGTTTCTAACTCAGGCTAATGCACATTTGTCCCTTGTTGGTGTTGTCAGTCAGAAATATACCCATATCTTGTACTACTATACTTAAACAAATTACTGCCTCCTACACAAATTGTTTCTATACACAGAATATGTTCCTATAAATCCCAATGTTCTAAGTGAAAGAATTCCATGCTTCGTTCAGGCACTTTTTAAATAGTCTACCTCTGGCATAAGACTCTTGCTCTGCTGTGGCTCAACACAGTTTCATTAGATTGTTCTTAATCCTCTAATAGTTCTGCATTTAAACTGCAGCTCAATTTTCATAGTGAGCACTCAGTAACAAGCTTCCTTCAAATGGTCTTTGATATCCGTTTCAACACAAAAGTGCAGTTGAAAAGACTTTAAAAAAATAAAATTGAAAATGATCAGCTTTGTAGGATATTCTTATAAGGTCATTTTCATCCTGATCCTTGTTCTTTGCTACTTTGAGCTACCCTGCATCTGGAAAGAAAAACGATTCTGGCAGTGATGAAGATGCTCAAAATTCTTTATACGTTAAGAGTAAAAAAAAGCCTGTGCCTGACAACAGTGACTGGGTTTGAGCTAAGACCCACATGAAAAATGGTATTGTTTAAAAGATTTAGAGACAATGGCACAGAGAACTGGCATTATGTCTCAAATTTTTCAAAGGATCCCAGTATCCACCATTAGACAGTTGGTTACTCCTTTTCTTAATTAAAATAACTTGCTGCCTGCAATTTCTTCTAGAGGTTAGAGTAGGGAGCTGCAGTAGCGCGTGAGCTTCAAAGGAACATATAGAGGTTAATTCAGTTTTCACTCTGGAAACGACCAAAAACCTTTTCAGCTGCGAAGCCTTCATCAGGCATGTAGGGGAGAGGACAGAAAGAAAAAGGAGTGGAGTCGGGAAGGTAAAAAGATTGAAAATGTGAGATTGGGTGGGGGAAGGGAAAAGGTAGTTAAAGAGATGGAAATCTGGGCAATAAATTCTGAGGGAAGTGTGCAAGACAGCAGTCTGTGAATGGCTGGGGAGATATGAAAATAGATTAGAAGAATGTATGAACAACGTTTAAGGATAATTTAGGGGATTTTTGCTATAGGAATCTTTGAATCCCTGTGAAATAATGCAGGCAGAACGATCATTGTAATCATGTTCTGGAGAGTTAAAATAAGCAGCCATCAGCTTGGAGAGATTTTTGATCCCTCACAGCTCTGACATTCCCTATAATGGTCAGGTAGCCTCCTTCCTGTTTTGCGGATGTAAATAGCAGGGCACTTTCTGCAAGCAGAGCACTAAATGAGATTACTGGACAAGCACGGTGCCCTTTGGGTGATCTTGAAACAGCCAGAGGGGCCAAGTATATGTGTGCTGTGGGATTATCCATTTGCAGACGATACAGCAACCTTTTGTTTCAGGAAAAAAAAGTATCAGTTATGGATGGTGGCTGTGGAGATTAGTCAGTGCAATGAGATGATTGGTGTGTCTGAAAAAAGGCTCCAACTGAAGGCCAATTCTATAAAAAGGAACTGTTAGGGAGAACACTGTGTGAATCAGTAGGTTTGCAATACGCTGATGATAGCACCAACACAGTCATCGCTGTATTATTTGAAGCATCTATTCCAGTATAGGAGGAAAGAACAGTTCTTCTACATTGTTCAAAGAGATAACAGCACAATGTGATCCCAATCTGGTACCCACAGAGATGCTACAGAGCTAGTGGGTGAAAAGATTATTGAAAGAATGCACTCAGGGTAAGAACCAATTCAGATAGTGGGATAAAGTTTGAGAGAATCCCGATGGGGAATGATATTGTATAGAAATGTGATGGTGGAGATAAAACATTCTGGACCCTAAAATTAAAAGTTGTGAAATGGGTATCTTTTTTTTTAGGAATGATGCTGCTTCAGATACGATGACTGTTTCGTGGGACCAGTGGATGATGTTTTCGATAGATAACGGAGTATCCTAGTGTTAAATATCCAACGCAAAAGAATAGAAGACAAAATATGCATTTGGCCAGTTTTCGTTTTCAAAAGTGCTTTAACACTGCTTACAAAAAGCATTATGTTATGTCAAGTAAGTTGCCTAGAGGGAAGGTTGAGTGTCAGCAAAATTGCTAATATCCAAGAGAAGCACTCTGCATTTCCAGGGCAGCATGCTTGCTGAGGGGGGCAGCACTGGACCAGAACAACACCTTTAGTGAAAGGTCCCAGAAATGTGTTAGCAGACTAATGGGGTCCAGACACCTCAAGGAGCCACTGGATAAGGACTTATTATCTCCTATTATCATTCAGAGGAACATAGACAAAGATGGCCTGTGCATAGAGCTGGGAGGAAATTCCCTAACAAAACATTCAAAAGTTAACACAAAATGTCAATATTTGTATTCTACAGCAAACATAATAATTGGTATATGTTTAAGGGTATACTTTCACCACAACAAATCTCTAAGAAAATAAGGGAGGGTAAAATGACAGATCTCATCACATTACACTTTCACAGCTAAAAATGATTTGCTTTCTCCACTTCAGGTCTTTAATGAAGAAATATTGTTAATCTTGCAATTCACACCCTTGTGTTCTTTTCCTGTTGCCAAAGAGTCACACACATAAACAAGTGGTAACAGAATGACCTATTCCATGCATTTAGTGGAATTAAAGAGATAATGGGAGCAAGCACTTTATATGGAAATGAGATTTTACAGAAGGTTTAGGAATGTTATGCTTCAACATCATGAGAAGAAAAAAATTGTAAGAACCGATTTTGATCTCAAGTATTCTGGACACAAACTGCAAATATTTTATTAAGACCTCATACATACAACTCTGCTTTCATTCTATTAAAATAATTAATATTGAGAAATACATTAAGAAATATCTTTACTAAACAAAATTATGCATGCAATGGTTAAAATGTTGATTGAAAAAACTTTTCACCAAAATACTACAGCATCACTTTTCTATTCCAAAAGAACAAAATACTTTGCAATGCCTTCAGGTTTTTAATGAAAACTTGCAAATCAAACATCTTATCTCTTTCCACAATAATGGTAAATGGGTACAGGGAGGGTTTGTGCAATCACCCATAATTGCATTATATGTCAAGCTGAACTAAAAAGTTATTTAAAAAAAAACTTAATTCCTCAGAGAAGTAAATGCCTTGTAGAAAACCACTGAGTCATGAAGACTAAGCCCTTGTGCATATTCTCAGGTATAATGGAGATCAGCTTTTATGCACAAGTTCGAAAGATGCTTTTGTGCTCTTTTTTTGTTTAATGGCCTTGAAAGTCTTCCACAGATGTAAAACTAAGATGCATTGTATTGTTCAACTTTGTTTTAAGGAAACTCCATGTGCATTTTGTCAGATCAAATGTGCAAAATAGGAAATGACTGGGAGAAAAATTCATCTGACAACTTGTTCTCAGAAGCTGCTGGCAGCAGGCACTCCAGCTTCACAACAGAGAGCAAGAGAAGAAAAGAGCAATGCAGGTCTTTTTTGAACGTTTTGAATATTCCCCCCACCCGATGTTTTATTTTTATAACACACAACAAAAGTTTTTAAAAACTGCTGCAAACGCAAAATCGCTGGGTGATCAAGATGTACCATAATTTACTATGAAACCCTCTGGAGGAAATTCGGTTAGCTATATCATGACAAAATACGAAGTGTATAGATGAAAGCACAACAGAAATCTCTTTTCCGAAATGAAATGCATATGAAATGCGTGCGACATCTAGATCTTTGCGATACACTGAAATTTCACATTCTAAATAAATATAATTAGTCTATTTCGAAAGTGGAACCTGTATATCTGTCTTACAGTATAAAATGCAGGTTTATAAAACATAAGGAAGGCACCAGAATTTCTATCACTGGAACAAATGATGATAAAAAACATAATAAAACAGAACAAAATCAAACTAGCATGCTATTTTTAAAGTTCAAACACAACTTGCTAACAGTGTGGGAGGAACAGTCATATGGGCTGTCACAGTTCCCCATTCAACACCATACATGCCAGTTCAATCTAAAAAGGTGGCAGTTAAGAAGAGAAAACTACTTGCATGGTGTCTCAGGAGGCTAAGCAACTGGATCTGCGATCACAGATTTAATCACTGCTTGAAAAATAGCCTGAATTCTTTTTTTCTTATCACAACACCTTAATATGATAGAGAAGAGACCGTAAAATCACAGGTCCCCCAAGAATATTGAAGGGATCTCATAATCAAGGCTATTGTCTACAAGTTATAAGATACCCTCTCTGGTAGCATACTTGTTTTTTTTTTGTTAAAGTAAATCTGAAAGCTTGTTTTTATCAGCTGAAATCTTGTTTCCCAGGTATTTACAGTCTACAAGCACATCATTTTAAAGGAAAGAGCTTTTTTCTCCTTTTCTGCCTTTATCAGAGCAATACATCTTTTAAATGTGAGTGAATTTCAGAATGTTTGAATTGCTTTTTCTCTCTACATTACATTTGTAAAAGGACCAGAAGCCTTTCTCTGCTTTGCGCACCACAATATCTAGGCTTTAGACACATTGTTAACTAGGTTAATGTTTTAGAAACATGTCATTCAAATACATTCCTAAAAGGAAATAGACTGTACAGCAGGTGTAGAGGCTGTACAGAAATTTTAAGACCCAATTTTTACTGTCCCTTTGTTTGCTTTTTTACACCTGGACAATTGTCTTCAGAGTAGCTCCAATAAATATTCAAATGTGCACAGGGCAAATATTTAGATGCATACTGTATATTATGTTCAATATTCTAGTGTTGTGCTTTCTACACATCCTTTTCTCAAATATTACCATAATGCACTGTAAAATAGGAGGTAAAATGGTATTCTGTTAAAAATGCTGAAGTTGTCTTTAATGGGAACGTATTGTCTCAGCAAGAAACCTTCAAAACATATTCACCTGTAATGCACAGTTCAATTGGTAAATTTGCATTCTACTTTAAGAAAGGCAATACAAACCTCCCTCATTTTCAAGTTGTGTAAAAATGCTTCAAAAAGGTGTTACAGCTTGAAGAGCCTCCTTTCAGGTTGTATAAATGCCAAATCTGAACATGTTCGGTCAGGACAAAAGTGTTTCTAATATTGCCTGTGCTGCATGTGTGCATTCCTCTTGTACTTAAAAATTTGTGATGGAAATTAAATGAAACAAAAAATCAACTGATAAAAATAATGCATTTATTTAAAATGACCAGTTTTCACAAATGAACCACAGACTTACTGTAGGTTTTGTATAGACGTTTTTCATATACTTAACAGAAAGGTGGGCTGTATGTTGGAAGAGTGGTGAGCATTTCTACCTCGCAGTGCTGTGGCCCTGGGTTAAATTCAAGATTTGGGGTGCTATCTGTGTAGAATCCAAAAACATACATGTATTGGTGCTGTAGGTCAATCGGCTTCTGCTAAAACTGTCCCTAGGTGTGAGTGTGTGCATATTTGTGTTTGAAAGAGTAGAGGGTAGAGTAGTTTATCGCTATATGAACATGTACATTGGCATTCTTAGTCGTGCTGATCTCTCGGGACATACAAAGTACAACAGTCGACACCACATAATGTAGACAGTACATTTCAAACATAATAAATGATAACAGATGGAACATAAATATGTTGTGGGACAATAAATATGTAGGAGTGAGAAAAAAAACATGGTAGACCATTGAAAAAGTGCACTGTGCAAATGTGTATTGAGGCCCTGCAGTTAGCTATTGAGTTTGCATACTGCAGTAGAAGCTGTTCTTGAGTTTAATCGACCTTGCTTTAATAGTGCGGGGGAACAGTTTGTCCGGGATGGTTGGGATCCTGAATGATAGATTGGGATTTAATGTGACAGCAGATGGTGTGGATCTCACCGATTGATGGTGAATCACATCCTATAATCCTCTGTGCCGTTTCCACAACTCTCTACACTGCGATGAATCTGGACAGCACAGCCTAGGGAACAATACGGTATGTGAAAGCCCTGCATTCATCGGCTGGAGGCAGGATGGGCTGTTTGTCATCACCTCCTGCAACTGGACCAGGGAACAGCTTTTCCACATCTTCAGTGAGGGGTCTAAGCTGCTGCAGGAGCTACGCGCACCCCAGTTCCAGTCCGGTGGAAGATCTGGGAGCAGTGTGACAGAACTGGTCCTCAAGAGCAAGAACCGAGCATCTGGCGGACATTACAAGGCATCATGGGTTTGACTACTCACTATTCAGGATGAACTGGCCTGCTGTCCTGGATGCACCCTGCCCTGCACCAGCTGCATGCCAGAACAGGCCCCCTACCCATCATGGATGGATAAAACACAAGTAAAATACAACAACCTGTTTTGTAAGGGGGGGGGGGACGTGATGTGAATGGGTTTTACTCCAGTAACAAGATAAGATCACTTTATTGGCCATATTCAACTTGTATTAGGAATTTGTCTTTTCGCATACCCCAACTTACTCTCCATGAGACACACAGACAGGGAGAGAAGCTGGGGGACAGACCGCAGGGTCAGCCATTTATACGGCGCCCCTGGAGCAGTTGGGGTTAAGGGCCTTGCTCAGGGGCCCCAGTGGAGTACGATTCCTCTGCCGGCCACAGGACACAAACCGGCAACCTTCCAGCCACAGGCGCAGATCCTTAGCCACAGAGCCACCGCCCCCAGACAACACAAGTATACAAAATTCAACTTGTGTTAAAGTCGAACTTTATGTGGAAAGCAAGAACCTCCCATTACCTCCAAGTGTTGCTGAGAGAAGGAAGTGAGTCCCATACTTCTTGATGAGGTTTTCCGTTATCTGCTGCAGGGTAGGTCTCCGCCCTAACAGCCGGATGCTGCTGAAGAATTCCGGAGTGAGCGGCAAGCTGGAACCCAGGAAGTCCCTTCTCTCCACCGCCAGGCTGTTGACCTTCCAGCGACCAAACTCCCTGGAACACAAGAGCAAGAGGTCTCAGGCAGGGAGCAAGCGTGCAGATTACTGCCTGTCAACCGTACCTGCCAACAGGTCTGCAAAACCTGCAAAAACAACCAGACCACTACTACAGCAGACTACAGCTGCTGGTGATGGAGCAGAAAATTCCACATTTCCAAACAGTTCTCCATAGAAAGTCATTAAAAAAAAATTGACTGAAGAAGAAGTTTAAAAAGAATTCCAACGCAATCCGATTTGAATAAAACCCGAATGTGTGAGTGTCGAACATTGGTCCAACCAAAACACTGAAAGAAGTTTTGAAAGACAAATGGATGAATAACTTAGAAGGACGTGGTAAAACAAATGCAGTGTCTCATTCTGCCTGGTACTTGGAGATAAGATGTTTTTTAAGCAAAACAATGTTTTCTTTGTAAGCAGACTGCAGTAATTTACCCTAATTAGCAGTCAATGTAGCAAGACGTGTAAGAACAGGAATTATTTACCTAATTTAACTCAAAGAGGGATAGCGTTGGCATCTTTTTAATAGCACCGAGACTTAGTGATTGTTTTATCTTGAAGACTTTAAAACTACAAAATAACAGTGCAACTAGAAGTGTAGGCTAATTAGTGATTTTTAAAGAACGTTTAACAGTTAAAAAACTGAATATTTCTCTTTAACCTGTTTGTCTTTAAATCTGGAAAATATTCAAAAACTATTTTCACAAGCCGCATCAAGCTAATCGCTAATGCTACCACATTTCAGGGCTTTGAAACACAGTGAAATGAAACTATTCTTAAAACCCTTTTCACAGCAAATTGTGTTGCAATGCACTTTATAATCTCAGCAGTGCAGGAAAATACAGTAAAAAAGTAAAACCAGAAGCAGGTTTAAACGAAATGAAAATGACCTAAGGCTCTGAAGCTAAATGTAGGTGTCAGAGGTATCATTATAGATCAAAACGTTGCAGTAATCGTAACAAATACCCCTCTGGTCACATTGTGCCTCCAACTCTCTTGACATGGTATAAAGGTGTCTTTCATGCTAAGCTGTCAATTGTTTTTAAATATCAGTTTTCAGTGATTTCAGTGTGTCTCTCTTTTCACGTTGGCATATGGTACTCAAGCAAAAGAATGACTTTCATTTGATGAATTAGCCAGCTACACCCTAAAGTGTCTTTTAAAGGCCAAAACACAATTATGTGTATTATCAGGTGTTTCCTTACAAATTCCGCAGTCGTATTTGATCCATTTAACAGTGTTTTAGTTTGATAATGAATTACAGTGAGGTGCAGTGGTTAGCACTGCTGCCTCACAGTGCTGGGACCCCTGGGTTCAACCTGGGGCCTGGGGTGCTATCTGTGTGGAGTTTGTATGTTCTGCCCTGGCTTGCGTGGGTGTCCTCCAGGTGCTCCCCCACTGTCTAAAAACATGCTTGTAAGTTACTTGGCTTCTGGGAAAACTAGCCATGGTGTTAGTGTGTCTGTCTGTGTGTGCCTTGTGATGGACTGGCAGCCCGTGCAGGGTGTCACCTGTCTTGTGCCCATTGCTTGCTGGGATAGGCTCCAGCTCCCCTGCAATCCTGAATTGGAAAAAGCAGTTAGAAAATGGATAGATAAACTGCAGTCCATCATCCTGAGGGACTAAAGGTATCCAACTTCTTGAAATAATGTATTTTGTTTTGTTATTGTGTGGTAAGCACACATGGTTTACTGAAAGGGATGATTACTTGGAAAGCTGGTAGTGAGTCATTAGTAAAAGTTTAAAGGAAACCTATACTGGCCTTTAGTTTGGACTTGAATGAGGACAGTATAGTCTCTTTTCTAATAGTCACTGGTAGCAGGATTCACAGCAAGGGTGTAATTTAGCTGAATGAGAACCACTTTAGCAATGCACCTTTTATATAAGAAGACAATTGAAGAAAAGACAACCTCAGAATAAGTGCTAATCATATCACCTCAACACTCTTGTCAAGCAATAAGCAATTAACAAGGGATCTCTCAGCACAACAGGAAAATTCTCAAAAACCCTTTCATACAAGTGCCAGCTACATCATTATCTCCTAAAAACTGAAAATACCTGCTAATGGTACAGAGTAAAAAACAGGAGAAAAAATCTTGAAGGAAAAAAACTAATATAATTTCTCTGTTACTTAAGGTTATGTAATTTTAAAACTTTCAAAAACAAATACTGGAAAAGGGTTAATAAAAATCTATTTAAAATAGTAACAGAATCAATAAAAGGACGATGTTTGAAAAACTACAATTTAGTTTTAAGCAGACCATTTTCAGCAAAACCCAAAACTATTGTGACAGCTGTGATTCTAAGTGTCTGCAAAGATATAGACAAAAAACTTTTAGTTTCTATAGTACATCATCTCAAAGTGCTGCACAAAAAAAAACAACAAACTAAAAACAGGTATACACAAAATTAAAATTAAACAGAATTAAACATCCTAATTAAACAGAATGAGATGCTAGAGTATAAAAGTGAGTCTTAAGACAGGATTTGAAAGTGCTGACTGACTTGCAAGATCTTGTATAGGCTAGGAGGTCATTCCACAGTCCTGCAGCAAGACAACACTCTTCAGAGCCTTGGACTGGAACTCTGAATGAAGGTCCAAAGAGTGCAAATAACATGTATGTCTAAAGGCAGTTAACAGTTTACGGATGCAGACCGGAGGAAAACCTTCCAAATCCCTAATCTGCATTTTATTCTGAAACATGAAGTGCAGCAAAAACAGGTGATATACATATCCTTATGCTCTTCAGCTTTGGGTAAAATTTGGGCAGCCAAGCTCGGAACATGCTTCAACTACCTTAATTCGCTTTTCTGCATCAGACTAGCAAAGATGCATACGGATATGCAGAATGTTAGAAAGGTGGACAACAAAAGATACCTTTACAATGATGTGAGCCTTTAAACCTCAGGTGAAAAATGACCCCAAGATGCCTTATCTGAGAACACTGACTGATGGTAGGAACATCAACAGTCAAAGTGTTGTTGACACATTTGCTAGGTTGATAAGTAAATCATCTTTAACATCTTGCCAGCTCAGATGTAAAATGTTTTTTGCAAGATACAGTCTGAATGGAGACATTCTCAATTTTAGATGGGAAAAGGAGTTGGGAAGATTACTGCACTGGACTGTAATCTTATCTAGATTGCTCTTTCTAACTAGACTTAATAGACAGTGAATATTGGAAATAAATTTCTAGGAGAATTTCCCTCAATTTGGTTTCGAAATAAATACCCTTGTGACAGTCAGAGCTTTACCTGGATTGCTAGTAATGTTACTTGAAGGCATGTTAATGAAAAAGCATGGTCAATGTCCTCATATCTACATTCCAGTTTGACATCCCATAAATGACATCCAAGACTTTCAGACCCATGAACGCACAATCCTTTGATTAAGGCATTAGTATAAAATAAATACTACTTTGTTTAGGAAGAAACAACATTGACCACTAGAACAACAGAAATGTCAATGTGACTCTATCATGATATTTATCTGCCATCCTATAAATTCCACCTAAGAAATAAGAATGAAAGTAACAGGCCAATTCCAGAGCACTGAAATGAAAAACCTGTAAACTGACCTTTAAACAACAGGACATCGCAAGGCGCTGACAATTCTGCAGTTCTTCCATCTGGCCTCAGCAAACGTAATTGGCCTTACAAACACAGGGATAATTTACTCTTACCTTCTTCACTAAGTATTAATTAAATAAGTAGCTTATAGGCTTTACCAGCTCTTAATCCAGGTTATGATTTACTGTGTGTTGATGCATAGCTCCTGATTGAGAGACTTCACAGAAAAGATAATGACATACTTTAGCTTTTATGAACTACAAACTCAAGCCCCCAAAGGACATGCAGAAACAAGAGACAAACGTCCAGATATACTCACATATGGAAGTACTCCACTTCAATTCTCTGCTAAAGAGAAAGCTACACTTGCTGATATCCACTGGGATGAACTAGACAAAAACTCGTTTCATTCCTAAAGAAGAGTTGGTCTACTGCTGGCCACCCAAGTCTACCACTGTTCTGACATACTGATAGCACAAACGCATCATTCTCTTGACAAGCAGCGTATATTGGTACCTTTCTGTGCTTTTCTTTTAGCATTTTCACCAGGTTTAACCTTCAACAGGTTCAATCACAACAGTCACCGCACCAAAGGGGTGATTTAGTGCTAACACTTACTGTGAAATGACTTTGTTGCTTATCACTATCCCTCCTGAGCAATCCATTAATGAAAATGTTCGCAATTTATGCTCAAATGTCCAAAGTCCATAACCTTTTTTTTCCCCTCAAAACATGCATGTACTGTATAGTAAGTAATAAGATTATCCCAACGCTCTACATACTTTCCTTTTTTCACTTCCCAGTGTACTTCACTTCAAATAACATTTTCAATAAATTCCTCATTTCAAAAATCTACTGAAGCTCATTAAATGGTTACCAGCTGGAACTGTTATTATTAAATATTTAAAAGAGCTGAAGAATGAAAAAAACATGAACCATATATTTAATTTTAACTTCTGTAAAACACGCCACCTCTTGTTCTCTTCACTTTAGGGTTTTGTAATGGTTTGCCTGATATTATAGGCCATTATGCACGCTGAACCTTGAATTCAGAATAGAACAGCCTTCTGGTCACTTAACCTAACATGCTATCATTAAACTGTTTATTCTGTTTATTTCCTAGAGATGACACTGACAGCAAAACCTTTGGCAGCTTTCAGAGAGGATATCAGGTCAAAATTCTGGAGCTGCATTTCACCCAGAGATGCAATCCAAAATGCACAAAGAAAATCCTCTTTTCCTCTCTGGGGTCATAGAACATGTTATCCTTTCTCCAGCCATAAATATGCTCTTTCCAACTTATCATGGCTATTAAAGAAATCTCATTCTTGCTGTAACTGAGCCAGTGTATTTCATTTCAAGAGGAAAAAAAAACTATTCAGTTTTGCGAGAGTCAGAAAATAAATTTAAAGTAGGGTTGCACACATCCTCTGCCGATACGCTTGTCATTTTCACTTTCATGAGAAAATCAGCGAGCTAAAAGGTCGCCTTCCTTTTCCAAGCACTGCTTTGGATCATAAACAGCAATGTGTTCTAAAAAGACACCCTGCAATTTGATGTTATTTCAAAAGATCTGCTACAGTTAAGCTTCAACATAGACGTTGTTAGGGGTATTGAAAAAATAATAATCAAGGAACTCTTCTCTGAAGCTACTTTTATGCGTGTGACACTTTGTGATGTTGATTACAAAAGCGTTTTAAAAAAGCCATTAAAAGACTTTGATTATAAGTGTTAGGAAGCTCTAATTTATAGCTCATTAACAGTTTCTTTCCTCTGTGGTAGCTTTGCCAATTATGATTATTTTTCAGCTCAGTCTTAAACCTGTCAGTTGTCAAAGAGACTGGAATTCAATTGCAGAAAGAAGTAAAATAATGTGCCAAAATTAAAGAAAATACAATTTATTTATTGCCCACCACCTTATCCTGGTATTTCCAGAAAATGGCTGTGTCTGGATTGTACCACAGCCTCCAGGCTCTGTCCTGGAGGCAGAAGATGAACTAGCAACTCTAATCCCTGCAGCTATGGGCATGACATCCACAGCTACTGAGTCTGAAGACTACCCAAAAAATAAAAAAGCTCTTTTGTGAACTTTCAAGGATGTCACAATAGCACTCAATGGCAGATCAATTTAAATGAGATGCTCTGCTCCATAACAAATGTGGACAGGCAGTGGGAGCATTCAACACCTCTTGGGAGAGTCTGAGAAACGTCTACTGACCAACTCAGGGTGTCCTTGAAGTCAGCACAGGACTCAGAGAAATGACCCAGGACCGCTGAAACATTCGTCTTTTTGAAGCTTTTTGAAATGATGAAAAACATTTGCACTGCACATGCACATTTTATGGACACAATTAAAGTAGGGAAATGTGTATCATTCCTCCCCCCTCCACATTTGTCTAAGATCTAAAAACATTCAATGCATTTGCTTGTTATTTTGCCTAGTAACAAGCAGTCTTTGACAAGGATCCTGGTTCTTTGCAAAATAGTCCGTAGCAGAACAGTGATCTCCAAGCCTATCCTGAGAGACACCCTTATTTGTCCAGTTTTACACGATTAGTAGTTAATTAGTAGTCAAAGATCCTGTCTATATACAGTACAATACCTCGTGAGCAAAGAGTCAGTTAACAGCTGATTGTATGAATTGAACTCAGCTAGAATGACATTCCCCCAAATACTTAAGCTCACAAAGAAGAGAATCGAAAGCCGTGGTCTAAAACATCTTCAAAGGTCTTTACATTGCTACCTTCTTGTTCAAATAATAGTTTTCAACATAAAGCTCTATATGAGAACAGAAGTCCTTGACATACTCTAATACACTCTTTTGCAAGCTCTTCAATATACAGTAGTAAAGCAGTAGAGCAAGTCTCTATGCCAACGAGCATTGGTCCCAAAATTAGATGCATCTTTGCTTGTTTTACTGGGCATTCATTTTCTGATGGAAGACATAACTAAAATTGAATAACACTTCTTATAACGCAATTTCAAAAAGTCAGGCTTGTACAAAACTTTCAAATCCTGTGAAGCGTAATATTTTTCCCCCTCTAGGAGATACCGCTTAGAGAAGATGCAGTGAAGCAGCCCATTTTGCAACACAGATGGTTTGGAAAGTGGGGGTGTTGATTCCCGGTCTGACTAATATAATAGCTGCTATTTATAGTACAGCCTGCTTTGTTGTACAAGTCCTTTCGTTTGCACAGAATTCACAACTTTTTGAGCTTTAGTATCAAGAGTTTTTGAAGGTACGTACCTGCATTTTTCAATTTTTTTTAATCAATCTGATCAAAACTCCCAAGTTCATAAATGCGTAAGTGTCCTTTTATCTAATAAAATCTTACTTTTTAATTAAAACAAAACTGTCCTTTTAACATCATTACATTAAGAAAATTACCAGCAGAACATGTTCCTTTTACACTCCTAAGATGAATGCACATAATTAAAGATTTAATTCTTAATTATGACAACTACAGATAGCTCAATTTGAGATCATTGCAATGAAGTAGCCTTTTTACAGAGCTGCAACTTGTTTCATTCGGCAAATTAATGTTCCGTTACCCAGTATAATGAAACCTAGAGCTGGAAGACTGATCAGAATATAATGTTTTTATGAGGAAGACACAAGTCTGGCTAATTTGGGGTGTTCTGAGGGACCAGATAAATTAAGGTAAGTTAAATGTTTGTTAGACATTTGCACTCCGTGGCTGATTAATTTAAAAGATCATAAAACATTTTTTATATTCACCTCGAGCCAAGCATCTGCATTGTTCCAGGTGTTTGTCACAGTGAGAACCATTTTGAAATACACATTTATATCCATGGGAATTTTAGCAGGGTTTGTTCAGCATTCTTAAATAGCTGTAGAAATTTCTACTCTTTATGACTAATTAACTGGGACAGTATTTTCAAAATAACTAAAAGTCTGCTTTTTAAAGAGACAACATACAGTACATCACTCCAAGTCAGCTTCCCACAGATTTGTTCTATTACAGCTGAAGGTTCTGAAGGCTCTGTCCTTTGCTAAAGATGTCCATTTGCCAAAAGAAATTATGATTAAGGGAACCTGACAGATTAACAGTCTAATTTGTAAGTGGTGGGGTGACAGAATATAGACCTACTATACAGTATATAGGAGGTATATACAGTATGTCTACAGCTTACCAGTAGGAAAGCTCCCTTTTAATTACGGCCTACTTATATTGCAGCATGACTTTTATGGAGTTATGAATAAAATAGTGGTAGATGGAACTAAGGTTTCAAAACCACTTCCTGTCTGGTTTCTTAGGGTGAACGTCTGGTTTGCGATGGAAGAGATCAACTGATTTGTATTTTTCCCCACAGGCTTAGATTTCAGTTGTATAGAGGGCACTTAGCTTTCAGAACAGCAGCAGAAAATGATGAAAGGATGGGACTGTGAACAGATCAGCTTTTTAAACTTGGGGATACCCTGAAGGGGCATGATTATACAGTATATCATATTGTCGGAGTGCAAAGAATAGCTGAAATCAGGACAAGGGATTAGTCAAAATGAAGTGGACATTTTTTGTCAATAAATAATGGCTCTACTTTTCTTTTAATAGAGTCCAGTCCTCACTAAAGCTTGGATCTGTAGTCTGACATGACATTACAGATTTTGACTGATTTATTTCCACACTACATGAGGTTCCTCAGCAATGTTAGTGAACCTTGAAACCCTCAATAAATCCTGGGAAAGATTCAGCAACATTCTGACATTTTTACTGTGTTTTTTTTTTTGTTGCAGCTTTTCAATTCCCAGAGATTGAGTATGAACCTACAGATATAGGGAAAAAGTTTTGTTTCCTATTCATAAAGAAATATGAAGTCATTTTTTGAGCTTAGGAAAATAATTATTTTGTGTGTGTGTGTGTGTTCCTTGAGTGTCTGGCAACCTCAGTCCCTTTAGGTCTACACTCCATTCTTGTCCTTTAAACTAATTAAACTTCTAATCGGGTGCAACATACTTAATCTTTTAATTATGCCCAGTAAAATAGTTGAGAACATACCCTCCAGGAATAACACAGTTCATAATGAAAAGCTGTGCAGGCAGCATTTTCTTCACAAATTATAATATTTTAAATAACATTTTAGAAGGTATTTGCATTTTTGTCCTCAGTGCAAACCTGAGTTCCAACAAATAATTAAGGAGGGCACCAATTTGGTACCATATTGTTTGACTGTCGATCAGCAATTATTCCCAACCATAAGCAAAAACAAACCTCAGATCCCAACACGGCACATGAGAAAGACGATCCCTGGCAATGCAGGGTACATGCATGAGGTAGATATTTCCTGGCACAGCAGGGTACATACCTGTATATCTTGTATCTGGTGGTGAATCCCTGCCGGTATCTTTCGATGAACTCGGCATACTCCTGTGACTGGTGGAAAGGACCCTTTTCAGACAGGAGCCAGTCCATGGGGCCAGCGCTCTCATGCTGGCCAGAGGCAGTGGCAACAGCTAAAACCCAGCAGTGCAAGCTCAAGGCGGTCCACTCCGACAGGACCATGAGACAAAACCATTTAACAACAGCAGCGCCACTCCAGTACCATGACATGCTTCTGCAGCGAGCCTGGAATCATCATTCTCCTAATAATTCCTGGGGACCTGAGGAGAAAGAGAGAGACACCCCAATATCGGGTTAGTGTCTAAACAAATCCATCAAACAAAAACTGTGGGACAGGGCCTGTATTTAATACGTTATACTAGACTTGGACAACTGCATGCACTGATTAGTACACCAAACCTTCTTCTATTCATGATACACCATTCACATCCTGTATGTTGTTTTAAAACACCTACAAATTGTTTTCACCATCCACTCTACACTATTATACTTGAGCATCCACCAGAGAATACCTTTTCGCTAGAGCATTTTGTAATTCAGTCATGTTTTTTACTTAAATAAAAAAAAGCACAAGCTTTTACACTCCAAGTCTTAATTAGGCAAGAAGCATGAATCTGATATAGTGATAAAATAGTACTAAACATTTAAGAGGAGAAGTACAGCTGAATCTAAATAACATGGTGATGAAAGCATGAAAGAGTGTAATGAATGTCCCTATAGATTGGATCTGACAAGTAGAGGCAACAGAAACAAAATCCCATGATGCGTGTACACAGGCCTGTTTAAGTAAAATTCATGTACTGATCCACTCTGATTTTCTGTAAAGGCAACATCAAGAATTTTTACTTTGAGCCTCTGCTAATATTTTTTTTATAAAGATGTATTATTTGATACTGTATGTGGTTCCGACCCTTGAGCTGAAAAACGCCAGAAGTCAAGAAGGTTTGGCAAAAACAGAGTCTCAAAAGGAGAAACTAAAACTTATGTAATAACATTCACCAAATTTGCAATGCTTTTGGCATTAGGCATTTCTGAACGAAACCCTGACTTTAATCGTGGTGGGAGCAAGAAGAACAAATTCTACAATGTGTCTGCTGGCTAATGGACAGTTCAACGGTCCTTGCACTGATTTGTGTTTTTAAGCCTACATCTGCAAACATCCACAGATAAGAACGGCTTCCTAACCTCTCATGACCCAGTCTTCCACTAGAACTCTGCTCCACCTCTGTATCAGGAAAAAGCAAGATGAAGTTTTCCCAGGTCACAGTCAGCTCAACACGGTCCATCAGCACCCACACACTTCCACCACATAAACATATGGCACTGCAGAGGGTTAATGTCAGCTTATACATAAAAATAACAAAAATGACCCCAAAACACTTCTTTACACCAATGTGTAAAGACTGAAAATGTCTTTATTTTTTATTTAGACATACATTTTGTACCTACTGTACATGGAGATTGATCATGTGTGCAGACGCCATTATTGATGTTACCTAAAAATATTTTACTTTAATGATATAGTGACTTGCACTGCATGGTGTAACTGCATAATCAGGACAGTAGCTGCTAATTCCTAGACACAAGCACGCATCCAAGTGGTCATCTGTTAGAGATAACTGGTACTTGAATTTAATGACTTTCACAGAAATTGACAGAACGCAGATTCACAAAGGTGTCAAGACCACTGCTCATTTGATCAAATTTTTTTTCTTTAAGATAAAGATTCCAGATGCTTCCTCCAAACACCGTGGGTATAATATTGATGTTGTTTTGCAAAGTTAAAAGTTCTCTCTTGACTGCAGATGTGTCCATGATGAAATTTCAGTTTGTTGTTGCAGCTGTGAAGATGGCAATTTTACTTTTTGTTCAAAGGAGCTCAGAGCTAATCGTGCCAACAACATTTTTGTTTTTTCCTTGCAGCTCTTAAACTGGTTCATTTAACAGAGCTGCGATATCATTTAAAAAGGCTACCTCTTTCAGCCATAGTTCATCTTTATCAACTGCCTGTATTTCACATGTTTTAATACAAGGAACTCCTGTATTTAAGGTAATAGATCAAGAAATCTCTATAGAATTTTTTCTCTGCTGAACCAGATTACGTCATTGAGCAACTAAAAGGCCTATGTCCTGCTTTATTTTCTCACAATTGAGAATGAAAGAGTTGTCTCTGCAGACGTCTGGCCTGAATTAAACACACAAGCTTAAGCGGAATAGCCATAATATTTTACAGCACAAAGCCTGATGATTCATTAAACAGTGATAATTAAGACAGGCAGAAAACATGTCATCAGTTTTACAAGGTGCAATGGACCCGTTTGTGGCAAGCACGAATGTTTGCCCAGTATGGTCACAAGTCTATAACTGTGTTGCATTTTTTTATTTTACCCAATCCAAAGCTAAGATTCTGAGCAGTTCCTCTTAGGCAGTCATGTCTTCAAACATCACTCTAATAAATATGCAAAACTGCAGTGTGTTGACCCCATCAGCCAATTCAGCAAACTGAAGAGAAGAGAAAAGGGAAAACACATATGTATGCCTTTTCTCCAGTTCCTCCAACCAAATCCTCAGCCATTCCTTCATAGCACTGCGTCACAATATTTCTGGACAGCTGAACCTCCTCGATAAGGGAAGCCATTTCCAATTTGTTGCAAAAACTCCAACAACGAATCCGCTGCCTCTTAACAGTGCTCTTTAACCAGTTCTCCTGAAAAGACTTCTTAATTTTATCAAGGAAATGACTCACCCAGAACAACACCATTGTAGTTGCCTACATGTTTGAGATGGGCCTTTCAAATATGCTGGGTAACAAGCTTTAACTCATTTAATAGTTCAATTTTAGCTGGAAGAACCCTCTTGTACATCTAACGAACAGTTCTGAAACACCTCTCTACATTTCCTTTCTTCACAAGAGCTACACTTTCATGGCAGATCAAATGAATATTTGGAATCTGTCATTTTAAAATAAGCATTGTTCTACCCATTCGTAGTGAATATGGTACATTTTTTATTTCTTTATTTTCTACTCAGCACTCATTTTAGCACACAGACCTTTTAAACACATGCACTGTAGGAATAGCTTGGTAAACTAGCCAAAAAAATACCCTCCAATGTGGTATTAGTATTACCAGATCAGATTTACAAAGAGGATTCAACAAGCAAGAAGCGTGATCATGTTTTAACAAATCAGATAATTAAATTATGACCACGTTATGACACCTTTCTGACAAGGTAGGAGTGGAGTCTTAACTTTGTATGCCCTTTCAATTCCAGAGTAGAGCTCATGGAACTCAGCATAAACATACTGTGAGCAGTGAGGAGGATTTTACAACATACATTAAATAAATATAAGAATTGTCAAGCTGTTTTCCTTGCAATGTAGAATAGTTAATGAAACCTCACACAAGCTAGCTAGGAGATTTCCAGGGACTGGATGTTGAGAATCACTGTTTTTTGAGCACAAGAATAAGGAGGAGAAATGATTTTCCCAGAGCCACAATTCTTTAGCTGCAGAGTAATTGAAAGAAAAAATAATCAGTCTCACTGTATTACTCATCTGCACTGAAATTTTCTCTGTAATAATTGCAGGAATGAAGCCACTGCCACAAATTAGCACAACAATTAGAAAGTGATGAGCTGCTGGAATGTTTTTCAAACTCCTTCTGAAAAAAAGAAAATGTTTAATTTCAGCACTGCATGTTCCGCATTCTTCTGATTAGTTAATATAGCAGCTACTTCTTTAGACAGATATCAGATTAATTCAGTCAACAGCATTTGTTAGGACAGAAATATCTTCAGCTATTATTTCAGTATGGACTATATACTTCCTAAAAAAAACAACCAAACAGGTCAGTTTTTAAACAGACCTGAAACAGGAAGCCTGTCTTGTCAATCAAAACACATATTGGAAAAAAATACTGGTATTAACCATTTGGCTACGCAGGTAATTCAAAAAGGATTAATCTTATTTTCAGCCAACCATCCACATGAAGTGCATTAGAATAAGGATGCTTTCAGTTCTCTTAGCTTAAGTCTACCACTCAGCACAAAAGAGGTTTCAACATCTGCGAAGATTTCCTTACTGATATGTAATTCCCTCCGAAGTAGCTTTACTATAGAATTTTAAAGGATTTGGTGTAATCTCTGTGTGGCTTGATAAACCTTAGAAGTATCTCTTCAATGGAGAGAGACCAGATCTCAGAATACCAGTGTATGATATCTTACAACTCAGCACCTAAAATACATTATGAATGAAGCAGAGAAATACCACAAATGCTTGGTTAAGATATCAAATGGCATTTATTTCAGGAATTTAGGACATTCATCAGACTGTGCTACTTTATGTTAGAATAGTATGTACTCCTGTTAAGAGTTGCAGCAGTCAGGAGCCTAAACTGGAAGTACAGAAAATAAAGCAAGACGCCATTATATCAGAGGAGATATCAGCTCACTAGCCATCATGTCTTTGGGAGGGACGAGGTGCCCACATCCTATATGAGTTTGTGTAGAACAGGCAAACTCCACACAGGTGACAATGAGCTCAGGACCCCAAAGATGGGAGGCTACAGATCTAACTGCCATACTACCATGCAGCAAATTAATTAAGGACAATTCAAATTAATAAAACCCCTACAAGAACAGCATAGATACAGCTATAAACTAAACGGTAGCCATATTTGGTTAAGATATACTGATACTTTTCTTTTTCCTTATTGCACCACAAAATGAGTTAGACAGACATACAAGTCTGAGCCCCTGTTTTATTAATTTATTACTCAGATGGAAAAAGAGGTGTTTGGTCTGCAGCTTCAAAGCTATACATTACAGCTGGAGTTATTACAACATTTATGCCCTTCCTTGGACAGCGGGTCAAGTTATGGCATTTTAAAAGAACATTCAAGGAAATAAACAACTTTTCAAAAAAGCTCATTGCCTGGGATTTGTAAAGCAGGACACCGTGAAAGGAATCCAACATTTAGTGAAAAAAATTTCTAGATAAGTAATTACTGTACAGTACATTTACATTTCAGGTCTATCAAAGTAATTCAAAAAGAAAGCAGAAACCTCTCTCTTCTATTTTTATGATAAAAATAAAATAAAAGTCAAAATTTATTTACAAAGTGGATTTAAATCATTTAGGTCAAAATTCATTTGGAAATAGGCATTGATTTTCCATTTATTTTCAGAAAATCAGAGCAAATGTTTGGCTAGCATATTTTTAACTGGTTGATGTGGAAATGGCTGGAACTTTAGAGTTGCG